ACACGATGATGATAGTAGCGATGTCGGCGACGATGCTGACAGCGACGACGGGGCAGCCAGCGACGGCGCCGATGCTGACCACGCCGACGACGACGACGACGGCGTCTTCGCGCCGGCGATGAAGGTTTGGAAAAGGATTCGGAATGCACGCGCGGCAGACGCTCCAGAGTGGCTCGCATGGTAATATTTGACACGGATCGTGCCACCCCAGCACGCTCGCAGGGGCGCTCGAACGATTTCGACATGCGCCCTCGCGAAGCCCGTTGGGTAGCATGTGATGAACATGTTGAACAATATATGGTTTTCTTAAGACTTCGCAAGAGCGCGCGCACGTTTGGTGAAAATTTGCATTACGAACCTTGCGTTTTGCATGTTGTTTGGACAGTCGGTTTTGACAGCCTTCCGAAACCGCAGATTTTTGAAGGATATCGGCACGCGCGCGCGTGCACTTTGTCCCATATGTTGCAAGGGATAATTGAACATGTATGATTACTGATTAACGAGCGCGCGCGCATAGTATTGTTTCAAAAGGAACCGACTGGGGGCCGATGATGGCTTTGCAGGGATAGTACGAATTCACAGGCAGGATGGACATTGGGTCAGAATCATATGCGTTTTGCGTAGGTTCCCGGGGGGGATAAGTCCGTTGGGGGAGAGGGTGGTAGAATCTGTCTGAATGCGATGAGTGCTCCGCGTTGGCTGGCGCGTTTCTGTGGCCGCACCAGCCCGCCGCGCGCGCGCGCCGCGGCCAGCTAGCTTGGCGCGACCGACGAGGCCGCGGTTGCGCTGGCCGCTCGGCACATCCCAGCGGGCACTTGAGTGCGAGTCGGCGACTTGGGCGGGCGCGGCATCATGGCAACGTCGACAATTCTAGACGCGATGACGATGATAGTGGCGATGTTGGTGTCGACAATTGAAGACGCGATGATGGTGATGATGATGATGATAGTGGCGACGACGGCTCCGATGCCGATCGCGCCAACGACGACGACGGCGCCTTCGCGTCGGCGATGAAGGCGCTGGAAGGGATTCGGAATGCGCTCGCAGCTAACGCGCGAGAGTGGCTCGCATGGTAGTATGCGACACGGATCGTGCCACCCCGGCGCGCGCGCAGGGGCGTTCGCGCGCTTTCGACATGCGCGCGCGCAAAGCCCGCATGGTAGCATTTGATGAACGCGTTGAACAATATACGATTTTCTTCTTAAGAATTCGCAAGAGCGCGCGCACTTTTGTTGAAAACCAGCGTTTTTGCGTTTGTTTTGGACAGTCGGTTTTGACACCCTTCCGAAACCGATCGCTTTTGGGGGATATCGGCACTCGCGCGCGACGACGCGCGCGCGTGCACTTTTGCCACATTTGTTGCAAGGGAGTCTTGAACATTTATGACTCGTGATAAACGAGTGCGCGCGCGTAGTAATGTTGCAAAGCGAGCCGACGGGGGGCCGATTCCGGCATGGCTGGGATAGCATGAGTTCACAGGCAGGGTGGACGTTGGGTCAGAACCACATTTGTTTTACACAGGTTGCCAGGGGGTGGATAAGTCGGGGGGGGGGGGGGGGGCGGTAGAATCTGTTTTTAGTCTGGAAATGAGAATGCGGTGCATGTAATTTCTGTTCGCAGCGAGTTGCCCGCTCCCCTGCTCGCGCAAACAACCCACCCGCCCACCCGCAATTTGGCCCGCAAACCGCATGCGGCGGCGAATGCGATGAGTGCTCGGCGTTGGCTGGTGCGTTTCCGCGGCCAAACCAGCCCGCGCATGCGCGCGCAGCGGCCAGCTGGCTCGGCGCGACCGAAGATGCCGCGGCGATGCTGACCGCTCGGCACATCCCAGCGGGCACTCGAGTGCGAGTCGGAGACTTAGGCGGGCGCGGTATCATGGCAACGTCGACGAGTGTAGACACGACGACGATGATAGTGGCGATGTTGGTGTCGACAATTGCAGACACGATGATGATGATAGTAGCGATGACGGCGCCGACGCCGATCACGCCGACGACGATGACGGCGTCTTCGCGTCGGTGATGAAGGCGCGGGAAAGGATTCGGAATGCGCGCGCGGCAAACGCGCGAGAGCGAGTCGCATGGTAATATTTGACACGGATCGTGCCACCCCAGCACGCTCGCAAGGGCGCCCGAACGATTTCGACATGCGCCCGCGCGAAGCCCGTTTGGTAGCATGGAATGAAAGTTTGCCGGGGGGAGAACACGCATGGTCGCTCTCCTTTTTAATATTTTAAGAAAAGCAACACGCGCCACAGTTCGCGCGCGCGCTTTTGGTTTAGATCCGCGTTGCGAAACCCTGTGTTTGTGCATGTTGTTGTGGACAGTCGATTTCGACGTCCTTCCGAAAACGAAAACATGTAAGAAATAATTTCGGCACGCTCGCGCGACGACGCGCGCGCGCACTTCGTCCTATTTGTTTCAAGGGTTTCTCGCGACGGCACGCGCGCAAGGGCGTTCAAACGATTTTGACATGCGCGCGCGAAGCCCCGTTTGGTTGCCAATCAGGGTTTCCTTAAGAATTCGCAAGAGCCCGCGCGCACGCTTCTGTTGAAAATACGCGCTGCGAAACCCTGTGTACTATGTTTTTTTAGACACTCGGTTTTGAAACCCTTCCGGAAACACAGGTTTGCGAAAGATATTGGCACGCGCGCGCGACGACTCGCGCGCGTGCACTTTGTTTCGTTTTGCTGTAAAGGATTATTGGGAACGTATGATGTTTGATAAACGAACGCGCGCGCATAGCATTGTTTGCAGAGGGGTGCGGGGGGACCGATACCAGTTTGGCTGGGATCGCATGAATTCACCGGTAGGATGGACAGTGACTCTCACCCATGATTTGACACATTCCATGCTCTTGCACACATCCCACCCACCCACCCTCAACTTGGTTTGCAAAACCTCTTGGGACCGTGACGGTAGGTACCAAATGGCACTTGGCAACGACACCGACGACGACGACAGCGACGTCGACGACGACGACGACGCCGAGGACTTCGACGACACCGACGACGTCTCCGACGACGACGACGACGACGACGACGACACCGACGACGACGACGACGACGACGATGACGACGCCGACGACGACGACGCCGACGACGACGACGACGACGTCGACGACAACGACGACGACACCGACGACGACGGCGACGGCGACGACGACGACGACGCCGACGTCGACGACGACGACGCCGACGCCGACGACGCCGACGAAGACGACGACGTCGCCAACGAAGACGATGACCAGGGAGGAGGGAGGACGACGACGGCGACAACGACGAGGGAGGAGGGAGGACGGCGACGACGCGAACGACGAAGAACGAGGAAGGACGGCGACGCTGACGACGACAACGACGACGAGGAGGGAAGACGACGACGACGACGACGACGACGACGGCGAAGAAATAGGAGGGACGACGACGAGACGCCGACGACGGACGACGACAACGACGACGGGAACGACCACGACGCCAGAGAGGACGACGACGACGAACACGAGGAAAGACAGAGGACGACATAGGCGACGACGACGACGACGACGACGACGTAGGCGACGAAGACGCCGACGACGACGACGACGATGACGACGCCGACGACGACGACGCCGACGACGACGACGACGACGACGACGACGCAAGAGCGCGCGCGCACGATTTTGTTGAAAATCAGTGTTGCGAAACCTTGTGTTTTTGTACGTCTTTTGGACACGATTTGAAATCCTTCCGACACCAATGGGTTTTAAAGGATTTCGGCATACGCGCGCGCGACGACGCGCGCGTCTGCACTTCGTTCCGCTTTTTCTTCCGAGGATTCTCGCGACGGCACTCTCGCAGGGGCGTTCGACAGATTTCGACATGCGCGCGCGAAGCCCGTTTGGTAGCATGTTGTGAAAATCTTGAAAACCATGGTTTTCTTCAGATTTCGCAAGGGCTCGCGCGTAAGCTTGTTTAGCAAATCAGTGTTGCGAAACCCTGTGTTTTTTTGTGTGTGTGTGTGTGTGCGTTTGTGTGTGTGTGCGTGCGTGCGTGTGCGTGCGAGTGCATGTGCGTTGTGCTGTTGATGCGTCGGCGTGTGCGTGCGTATGTGCGTATTGCGTGTGCCGTGCGTGTGGCGTGTAGTCGTGCGAGTGTGTTGCGTGTGGTGTGTGCGTGTGTTGTGCGTTGTGTGTTTGTGCGTGAGTGTGTGTGTGTGTGGTGCCGTGTTTCTTTATGTGTGTGCGTGTGTGCGTGTGTGTGCGTGTGTGCGTTGCGTGTGTGCGTGAGTGCGTGTGTGTGTATGCGTGTGTGTGCGTGTGTGTTGCGTGTGTGCGTGATTGCGTGTGTGCGTGTGCGCGCGTGTGCGTGTGTGCGTATTTGCGTGTGTGCGTGTGTGCGCGTGTGCGCGTGTGCGTGTGTGTGCGTGTGTGCGTGTGTGCGTGTGTGCGTGTGGGCGGGTGTGCGTATGCGCGTGCGTGCGCGTGTGCGTGTGTGCGCGTGT